GATGATGCTGCTGCTGCTGCTGCTGATGATGATGATGATTACGATGATGCTGATTATAATTATGAGGATGACGATGCTGATGATGATGGACGATGATGGTGCTGATGATGCTGATGCTGATGATGATGCTGATGACGATTGACGGCGACGATGACGACGAGGAGGATGATGATAATTGTAGTGGTGGTGGTGGTGGTGGTCATGATGATGATACTGCTGCTGCTACTGCTGCTGCTGATGACGATGCTGATGATGATGATGATGATGATGATGATGATGATGATGATGATGATGATGATGATGATGATGATGATGATGATGCGGAGGAGGAGGAAGAGGAGGAGGATGATGATGCTGATGATGACACTGATGATGCTGACGATGATGATGCTGCCGATGCTGTTGCTGAAGATGTTGATAATGACGATGATGATGACGATGATGATGCTGATGCCGATGATGATGCTGCTGCTGATGATGATTATGATGACGATGGTGTTGCTGACGGTGCTGATGCTGATGCGGAGGAGAAGGAGGAGCAGGAGGAGGATCATGATGATGGTGAGGACGACGACGATGATGCTGCTGATGATGATGATGATGATGACGACGACGATGATGATGATGGTGATGGCGCTGGTGATGGTGGTAATTGTGGTGTTTGCGGTGGTGGCGATGAAGATGATGGTACTGGTGATGAGGATGACAACGTTGCTGATGCCGATGGTAAAGATGATGTTGCTGCTGCGGCTGTTGACGATGCTTATGATAACGATGATGCTAACTCTGGAATGATGATGATGCTGATGATGACGATTATAATGCTCATTCTGCTGATGCTGATGATGCTGCTGCTGATGATGATGGTGCTGACAATGATGACGTTGCTGCTGCTGATGCTGATGGTGATGATGCTGACGCGGAGGAGGAGGAGCAGGAGGAGGAAGGTGATGATGGTGATGACGATGGTGATGATGATGATAATGATGATGATGACGATGAGGACGGCGACGATGCCGATGACGATGACGATGATGATGCTGATGATGATGATGATGATGATGATGATGATGATGCTGATGGCGGTTGTGGTGGTGGTAGTTGTGATGTTGGAGGTGATGACGACGATGGTGGTGGTGAGGATGATGCTTATGATGATGCTGCTGCTGATGATGCTGATGCTGATGATGATGGTGATGCGGGCGCTGTCGCTGACGAGTATGGTGATGCTGCTTATGCTGAAGATGTTGTTGTTGACGATGAAGATGATGATCATGATGCTGCTGCTGCTGCTGATGATGTTGATGAGGATGATGGTGATGATGCTGATGCTGATGCTGCTGCTGATGATGATTGACGATGTTGTTGTTCTTGTTGTTGCTATTGTGGTTGTCGTTGTTTTTGTTGCTGTTGTTGTTGGTGGGGGTTGTGTTTGTTGTTGCCGAGAATGATGAGAATGATGATGCGGAGGAGGAGCAGGAGGAGGAAGTGGAGGACCAGTTGGAGGAAGAGGAGGAGGAGGAGGAGGAGGAGGAGGAGTTGGAGGAGGAGGAGTAGGAGTAGGAGTAAGAGTCAAGCTAGCCAGCTCGAGCGAGTCAAGCATGGCATGCCCAGTCCCACCCGCCCTCCCACAACATAAGAAGCAAAGCTGGCACAACTGGGGGCCGAAGTCACACCGGCCAGCCGGTTTGGTACAGCTGATGCGGCCGCGATGGCGGTTGCCGACGGGAACTGGCGAGCGCGTGTTGAATGCCGCGCACGCATTGCCAGACGAGTCGAGAATGGCCCGGTACACCGCAGGAAGCCAGAGGTGGCCGGAGGAAGCCCGACGGTCTGACAGGACACCCCAAAGCATTTTTGTGAAAAAGCATTGGGTTTTTGATGTTTTTATGTTGAAATGCTTGCAAAAACACGGTGTTCGGTAGGATTCTGACATGAACGCGCGAGTGTGCTCTTTGTGGTATTTTTTGCACAGGATTCGCGGCCTGGGTGCATGACAGAGCATCGCGAGTGCACCGCGCGATGACGTGAAATCGCTGGATTTGACCGAATTCTTAAGATTCCTATGGTTTTCCTATGATTTCAGCAAGAGAGCCCGGGCGGGAAATTTGTACAATTTTTGTGAAAAAGCATTGGGTTTTTGATGTTTTTATGTTGAAATGCTTGCAAACACACGGTGTTCGGTAGGATTCTGACATGAACGCGCGCGTGTGCTCTTTGTGGTATTTTTTGCAATGGATTATCGCCGTGGACGACAGGACGTCCATGTCGAGAGGAAAAAATAAGAAAAATGTTGATTTTGTATTGTTTTTTACAGGTTAGGATGGGACCACCCGGATGCGCCCGCTATCTGCCGGCCTGAGGGGGGAGTAGGAGTATATTCTAATAAGGAATAAGGATAGGAGTGTAGGTAGTAGTAGTGGGAGGAGGGGGAGGAGGAGGAGGAGGAGGGAGAGAGGAGGAGGAGGAGAGGAGGAGGAGGAGGAGGAGGAGGAGGAGGCGGAGGAGAATGAGGAGGAGGATGAGGAGGACCAGTGTAAATCCACGACTCATCAACGATGTTGGGACACACCGTCCCTCCAAGCTCCCTCTTCATAGGCCCCTACAAGGGTTCATTTCCTCTGAGGGAATGGCCCCGTTGGGCGTCAACCGTGTGAAAATCTTCAAGCGTGCCAAAACACCAGCCTCAGGACATCAACGCCAAGAGTTATCCTGACTTTTGCGTTTTGGTGAGGAGGAGGAGGAGGAGGAGGAGGAGGAGGAGGAGGAGGAGGAGGAGGAGGAGGAGGACGAGGAGAGGAGGAGGAGGAGGAGGAGGAGGAGAGAGAGGAGGAGAAAGAGGAGGAAAAGGAGGAGGAGAAGGAGGAGGAGGAGGAGGAGGAGGAGGAGGAGGAGGCGCGACAGAAGCACCGAACGAGGCGCTGAATGCTGGGCGGGCCCCCCGACGGCCCTGGCTGCGCGGCCGCTGCGCCGGGCGGGCGCGAGGCTGCCTCGCCGGCCCGCCAGGGCGCTGGCCCGGGGGACCCGCCGGCGAAGCTGGCGTCCTCATCGTCAGGGGGCGAAGGGCAGCGCAGGTTCAGTCTTTCCGCCGCTGGCCGCCTTCGGCCCGGGGCCGCTCCGATGGCGCCGTGCCGCTGCCAGGGCCGAAGGCGGACGTCAGTTCACGCTCCCCCTCAGTCGACGAAGGGATACTCTCCACTCGTTTAAATTAGATATCAGATTGCGACCTAGTTTAGCCGAGATCTATGTTTACCGAGTCTAGTTTTACCGAGCCGGGACTCGAATACTAAACACAACGTTCTGTATGTCTGGGGTCAGGCCCGGGTCAGTCCGGGGTCACTCCAGGGTCAGTCCGAAGTCGGTCCGGAGTTAGTTAGGGGTAGGTCGGTCCGGGGTCAGTCCGGGTCGGTCCGTCAGTCCGGTCGGTCAGGGGTCAGTCCGGGGTCAGTCCGGGGTCAGTCGGGGTCAGTCTGGGCCAGTCACGGGTCCAGTCAGGTCCGGGTCTGGTCAGGGTCAGTCCGCCAGTCCGGGGTCAGGCCGGGGTCAGTCCCGGGTCAGTACGGGGTCAGTCCGGGGTCAGTCCGGGGTCAGTCCGGGGTCAGTCCGGGGTCAGTCCGGGGTCAGTCCGGGGTCAGTCCGGGTCAGTCCCGGGTCAGTCCGGGGTCGGTCCGGGGTCGGTCCGGGGTCGGTCCGGGGTCGGTCCGGGGTCGGTCCGTCAGTCCGGGGTCAGTCCGGGGTCAGTCCGGGGTCAGTCCGGGGTCAGTCCGGGGTCAGTCCGGGGTCAGTCCGGGGTCGGTCCGGGGTCGGTCCGGGGTCAGTCCGGGGTCAGTCCGGGGTCAGTCCGGGGTCAGTCCGGGGTCAGTCCCGGGGTCAGTCCCGGGGTCAGTCCGGGGTCAGTCCGGGTCTCAGTCCGGGGTCAGTCCGGGGTCAGTCCGGGGTCAGTCCGGGGTCAGTCCGGGGTCAGTTCCCCCGGGTCGTCCGGGGTCGGTCCCGGGGTCGTCCGGGGTCGGGGTCGGTCCGGGGTCCGGTCCGGGGTCGGTCCGGGGTCGGGGTCGGGGTCCGTCCGGGGTCCGGGTCCGGGGTCGGTCCGGGGTCCGGTCCGGGGGTAGTCACCGGGTCGGTCCGGGGTCGGTCCGGGGTCGGTCCGGGGTCAGTCCGGGGTCAGTCCGGGGTCAGTCCGGGGTCAGTCCGGGGTCAGTCCGGGGTCAGTCCGGGGTCAGTCCGGGGTCAGTCCGGGGTCAGTCCGGGGTCAGTCGGGGTCAGTCCGGGGTCAGTCCGGGGTCAGTGTCCGGGGTCAGTCCGGGGTCAGTCCGGGGTCAGTCGGGGGTCAGTCCGGGGCCAGTTTGCGCTCCGTGCGGGGTCCGTCTGGGCCGGGGTCAGTCCGGGGTTGGTCCAGGGTCGGATCCGGGGTTTGCCTGAGGTCTGTCCAGGGTCTGTCCGGGGTCAGTCCAGTCTGGGGCAAGCCTGGGTCAGTCCCGGAGTGACCTGCAGGATTGACCGTGCAGACCGACCCTTGAATGACCCGTGTGTATATGGAGCCTGGTCGGATCGAATTCAGCGCAGCCGAGCCGACCGCCACATTACGTGCACGCGTATGTGGGAGCGCCCGAATGGAAAGGAAAGCGGAGAGTATTTTAATGCATGGGAAGTGAAAATGCAAGCGGGCCGATCTAGTTTTCGGAATTGCAGAAGTCGGGGACCGAAACTTCCGATCTAGTTTAGCCGAGACCTAGTTTCACCGATTCTATTTTTAACGAGCGGGGTGTAAAACAAACGGCGTGGGCATCCACTCTCGGAGGTCCGCGCGGGCCCCCGACTGCATCGGGACGTCTTCCCCTGGGCGGCCGGGCAGTTTGCACCCCGACGTGCCACCGGGGCATACGCTCTCCGGCCGCCCTCGGACAGACGTTCCCGGTGACGGGCAACTTTCTTTTACACCACTCGTCGTCCGCTGACCATCCCTGTCGCACGTCCTTGACTGCGCCTTCACCTTGGCGGTGATGGGCTTCGGTGTCGCCATCATCCACGGCACCGCGTCCGCGGCGCACCTGGGCTTGATCGATAGGGGTAGGCTGACGTTCGTTCTGTCCTTGAGCTGCCCGCTCATCATCGTCGCCCAGTTCCTCTCCCCGGCAGCCGTGGTGGCGGAGGCGGTCTCCGAGATGGACGCGCAGAACCTCCCGACCCAGGTGTTCAAGTCGCAGGCCGCCTGCAACATTCTCGGCGTCTCCTACGGAGTGCAAATCCGCAACCACGCAGTGCTGGTGTCGAACATGGTGGGTCTCTCCTGCCAGGTCCTCTACCTGGCCTGCGCCACCTACGTCAGGGACGAGGACTCCGCCAGGTGGGGCTGTTGGTGCCTCCAGATGATCGTGGTGCTGAACTGCAGCCTGTACGTCTTGATCCAGGTTCTCAGATGCGCTTTAAAACGCTGGGGGCGTTTCTCCTCGTCTTCAAGATCGATGCTTTGTTCCCGTTCTGGACGCCGTTGTTGTTCCGTCTTCATGTCTGGCATCGGCCCGTGGCCCACCTGCTCGTCCTTTGCTTGCTTTCAGTCGTTTTTTGTTTGTGAAACAAACCAACAATCAAAGAAACAACACACTACAACATACAACAAATACGTTTTTAGGTATCACAATGCCGCCTTCTTGACGTTCGCATTCCAGTGTGTCGCTTGTAGAACGTTTTTGTGGAAGCCGGACGAGCAAATGCTCCTCCCCCCGCGTTTTTAAGAACAACTATGTCCAGGTCTCGCCGATTCGGATCCTCGGGCACTTGATCACTGTCTTCAACGTTGTCCTGTTCGCCTCCCCGCTGACCAGGGTGGCTCAGATACTCCGCTCTAAGAGCGCGAGCTCCCTGCCGATCGCTATGACCTGCGTCGGGCTCCTCAGTAACTGCGTGTGGTCTCTGTACGCTCTGCTGATCGAGGACCCCGTGGTGTTCCTGCCCAGCATACTGGGCTTCCTGCTCTCCTCCTTCCAGGTCCTCCTCATCTCGGGCTGGACGAGAGGGGGGATACAAACCCGTTGCTAATGCTTGTGACCATTCTGCCATGGTGCGCATGTGACTCGAGATGCGCGGCGTGAGCTCATCCTCAGGCGATGTTGCGTCGAGGCAAAGTGTCCCTGAGCGCAGAAGCCGCTCGCCCTCGTGGTGAAACGACGCGGAGTGAGTTTCGGATGGCGCGAATTACGTTATTCCTGCAGCAGGGACATGAGGGTTGAGTTCACCACCGACGGCGGAGTAAGCTTTTCCATTCGAAGAAAACGCTCGGAGTAAGTTCCCGAAGCCGTGCTTGCACTGAGGGTTTCCTAGTTGCTGTCGAAGGAGCTGGGCCTGACCGCCGATCTGGCGGCTATGTTGTCGCCGTCGCCGCCCCGTCGCCACGTCGTCGCCGCTGGTCGCCTGGGCCTGACCGTCGGTCTGGCGGCTATGTTGTCGCCGTCGCCGGCCAGTCGCCACGTCGTCGCCGCCTGTCGTCTGGGCCTGTCCGTCGGTCTGGTGGCTATGCTGTCGCCGTCGCCGCCCCGTCGCCGCCTCGTCGCCGCCCGTCGTCTGGGCCTGACCGCGGGTCTGGCGGCTATGCTGTCGCCGTCGCCGCCCGGTTCCGTCTCCGCCGCCCCGTGGCCCCCCCTCCCCTTCATTGGTTGCACTACAATCAATTACAATCCAATCGATTGCAATGGAATCGGTTGCAGTCCAATCGATTGCAATCCAATCCATTGCAATCCAATCAATCGTTTGCACTTCATTTGATAGCAACGATATACGGGCAACATCGATTGCACAGCATAGCTTGCACCACGTAGATTGCACCATACATATTGCGTCACATAGATTGCACAACATGGATTGCCAGAAGCACACTGTGTTGGGTCCACGCTGGCGAAAATTTTCAACACGGTAGTGAAGGTGTAATCTCAAAAGTGAGGCTCGGTGTGGGCCGAAGCCTGCTCCGCCGCCGCCAGACCTCACGTTGTAGGATTCTACGGAGGGAAGGGGGTCGCTGGTCTACTGTTTTGTCGGGCATCTCCCTCTACAGGAGGAATCTAGTTAAAACATTTGCTGGGGCCGATTTTTTTAATTATGTTTGACTGTATTTGAGTCTTGTTTGACTGTTTTTCTAATTTTTCTTCTTGGGTGTCGGTGGTTTTGCTGTGGAGAGCGGGGCGTTCTCACACCAGAAATCCATGGACGTCTTGGGGTCTCAGGGTTGGGCTTCTTGTGGAGGGTTTCTTGTGGACTGGCCTCCACTGTATACGTGGGCGCCTCCGGCGCCGGGAGGCGCTAGGAAAACCAGCAATGTCAATCGACTCGCTGACCCCCCTTAACATCACCCCCGTTCCCAGACATCCTCCGATGTGAATTTTTCAAGCCGCGGCCCCCCAGATATGCGATGTCTCGTTTCTCGCACGGGCCCCCAACATCTCGACCACTGCCCCAGGACTGTTTTTTTCATCCTCCGTCGTTTTTCGACGGTCCGGAGGCCAGGTAGGGGCCTCGAGAGAGGCCGAGATCTATGAGAAAGCTGCGTCTCGATGTTTTCGAGACGCCGGATGTCGGGACCCAGAGCTCCCGACCCCTTCCCCGGGGGTAGCTTCTCGTCCCGGATCCGTTTTTGTTGGCCCTGGGGCTCAGCAGCGGGCCCTGGAGGCTCACGTCGAGTGCCGTCAGAGATCTGAGCTTTCGTCCGGCCCGGCCATCCTCTGGTGCAACGAGTCGCTGCCGTTCGACCTCTCCTATTGAAAACGCCTGCGGCGAATCACCGCCGCCCCATGCTTTCTGGGAGCTCCTACGTGGCCGAACGTTGCGGCCAGAGCTCGGCCAGAGCTCGGCCAAGCTATCGGGCAGCCAAGTTCCTTCAAACGCTGGAGGAAAGCTAATGATTTTGGCCTCTTCGAACCTTCCTGGATGTCCTCTTGGATGCTTCTTGGGCCGTCTTGGGCGATCTTGAGGCTATCTTGGGCCACCTTTGGGTCGCCTCGGCACGTCTTGGAGACATCGTGGGGCAATCTGGGGTTCTCTTAGAGCCATCGTAGCCGTCTTGGAATCCATCTTGGCCATCTTGGAGGCCATCTTAGGGCCGTCTAGAGCGGGACGACCGACGACCTGTGAAGTATCTGGGTCCTTCTTCCGTGCCGGCGGGTTGGGCCAAAGGCCCGCTGGATATTTTTTAAAGGACAAACAACTACCTAACGTTTGGCATTCGTGAGCCCTTGTGGCAAGTCAACAGTTGGCGGCGGAAAGCGCGCGTAGCGTGCCATCCGTTAGTCGGAATAAATGAAACTAGGGGGAGTTTGAGGGGGGGTGGCATTTGCACTGCAGGGTGACGGAAAGAGCGAGGTACGAGTGAGTTCCGTTGAGTTGGGACGAAGCCCTTAAGGGGGGTGGTCCAGGGGGGGGGCGAGGGGCAGAGGGGGGGTCTAATGGCCTTTTTTTTCTGTAGGGTTTTTGTATGTTTTTCGGATTCTCCCTCCAGACGGCCGAAGAGCGCTCCAAGAGAGCCCCAGACCGCCCAAGACGGCCCAGGAGGCCCCCAAGAGGCCCCCAAGATGCGCCCAAAGGGGCGTCCCAAGAGGGCCCCAAGAGGCCAAAATCATCGATTTTCCAGTGGCAAACGTAGATTTTTAGCATCTACGGCTTTTCGCCTTTCACGGCGTTGACGACGGCCCAAGAGGCCCCCAAGACCGCCCCAAAACGGCCCAAGAGGCTCCCAAGAGGCCCCCGAAACGGCCCAAGAGGGCCCCCAGACGGCCCAAGAGGCGCCCACCAAGAGGGCCCCAAGACGGCCCCAAGAGGGGGACCACGAACCGAAAAGTCTAGCCTATCGCCCCAAGACGCTCCCGGGAGGCCCCCCACAGCCCCCAAAGAAGCCCCAAGAGGCCCCCAAGAGGCGTCCGACGAGGCCATCAGGAGGCGAAATGCATTGATTCCCTATAGGAAAACGTACGTTTTTAGCATGCACGGCTTTTCGGCTTCCACGGCGTTGAAGACGGTCCAAGAGGCCCCCAAGACCGCCCCAAGACGGCCCCAGAGGCCCCCAAGAGGCCCCCAAAACGGCCCAAGAGGGCGCCAAGACAGCCCAAGAGGCGCCCAAGACGGCCCAAGAGGGCCCCAAGACGGCCCCAGAAGGGGGACCACGAACCCGAAAGTCTAGCCTTTCGCCCCAAGACGCTCCCAGGAGGCCCCCACAGACCCCCAAGAAGGACCAAGAGGCCCCCAAGAGGCCCCCAAAGGGGCTCAAAAAGGGCCGCAATAGGACTCCCAAGAGGGCTCAGAGAAGCCAAATAAAGAGCGATCGGTAACGCAAAATGTTCTTCACACCAAAGCTCCCAAGAGCGAACGGTCACGTAAACAAGCTGATAAGACCAAGGCTCCCAGCAGGGAGCGATGACGTAACAAGTTCCTGACACCAAGGCCCAGCCAAGGCTCAGGAACGGGCGGCAACGCAACAATCTCTGAACACCAAGGCTCCCAAGAGCGCGGGGTGACGTAACAAGCTCTCAACGTCAAGGCTCCCAGTACGAACGGTGGTGTGAGTAATTTCGGTCAAGTTGTTGAAGCGCTCTTTCCGTTTCTGTGCCGGCCCAGGTCTACTGGCCCGCCTTTTTCCTTGTTAACGGAGCCCTTAACAGGGAAAATCGCATGCTTTACTGGCCCGCCCGTTTCCTTGCTAACGGACCGTTAACAGGGAAATTGCATGCTCGGGCACCCCTCTTCCTTGCTAACGGAGCCCTTAACAGGAAACATCGGGTGCTTAACAGGGTTGCACGCTCGGGCACCCTTTTCCCTGTTAACGGAGCCCTTAACAGGGACTTCACATGGAAAATCGGGTGACGGACGCGTTTGTCCCTGTTAACGGACCGTTCACAGGGAAATTGCACGCTCAGGTGACGGAAAGTGCGCTTCGTCGCGATCCGCTAGTCTGGAGAAATGACAAGGGAGGGTTTCGGGGGGTGGCCGGGGGGTGGGCCCAGAGTCTAATGGCCCGTTTCCATAGTTTTTTCTCGGTTGAAGCGGCTCCCAGGCGGCTCCCATGGCCTATTTCTTTAATTTTTTCAGGTGAACCTGCCAGAGGGCCTCAAGACAGCCCAAGAGGGCCCCAAAGCGGCTTCAGAGGGCCCCAAGACGGCCCCAAACGACCTTCAGATGGCCTCCCGACGGTCCAAGAGAGTCTCGAGACGGCTCCAGAGGCTCTCAAGAGGGCTCCCCCAAGAGGCCTCAGGAGGCCAACAACATGCATTTTCCTATGGTTTTTGTATGTTTTTTCATGTTCTCCCTTTTTCAGTCCCAGAAGGGCCCCAGACGGCCCAGAGGCCCCAAAGCTCGTCCCAAGACGGCCCCAGAGGCGCCCCAAAGGGGCCCCAAACCCAAAACGGTCCAAGAGGGCCCCTAGACGGGCCCAAGACGGCCCAAGAGGCCCCAAAGATCGTCCCAAGACGGCCTCAGAGGCCCCCCAAAGAGGCCGCAAACGGTCCAAGAGGGCCCCGAGACGGCCCAAGAGGGCCCTGAGACGGCCCGAGAGGGCCACTCCCTGGGACCGGTTCCCCATCCCGAGCCGATTCTTGACGGTCCCGAGGCCCGGTCAAGGCCCCGAGAGGCCGAAACTCGAAAAAAACCTGGAGTCGTGATCTTTTTTCGTGTCTCGAGGGGCTCTGGCAGGGCCACCCACGATCCGACTCGATGCGATTCGATTCGCTGCCTGGGACCGCGACTCCACTTCGATGCGATCCGGCTCTATTCGCCGGCATCGGCCAGGTCCGGCCGGATTCGGGGCGCGCGGCGATTCGATACCGATCCGATTCGTGACAATTCGCTGGCGCTTCGACCCGCTCTCGACCCGATCCGACTTCGCGATCCGATCCAGCGCAGACCCGTCTGGGGTGGCGGACCTCCTCCTCCTCTGCCCCGCCGCGGCCCCCCCCGCCGCGGGCCCGGAGCTGGCCGTCGTGGGCGTCGAGCAGGCGCACCCCGACGAGGCCAGGGGCGGGCGCGTCGAGTCACGGGGGGGGGGGGGCTGCTGGCGCTAAGTC